TGGATCTGGCAAGTTTTTATCTGAGATATTAGGTAAAGTTATATAAGCTAGGTAGACTATAATCTTTCACTTACATATTTTTTCCAGTTTACAATGGACAGCAGCTGTAAGACACGTGGAAGTGGACAAGTTTAACAGATAAACCAAAACGAAAATAAGGCCAACTCCAGTCACCAGTATCCAACTTCAGATAAAGAAAACGCGCATGCTAAAAAAGTAATCACTCGTAAGTTCGAAAAAAAAACAATGCTAATTTCGACCGCGGTGCTCAATCGGCAATCCTAGAGAACTTCAAACCCTTCTCTCTTTGGTTCTAATCCTCGCATGTCGCCGCTTGTCGCTCCCCAGTGGGAAGCCTTTAATTGGCCCTGACCAGTTTCACAAATTTCGGATGAATATTAAAAGTGAGGTGAATAAAAACAACAAAGAAGATCAAGGGAAGATTATGCAGTAGTAGTGATACAATAGCTACAGTTTACGCAAAATGAAACAGACTTAGGGTTACACAAATGCTAGCAAAAGACCACAAGTTGAACAGCGAAACATTCCAAGTACAAAAAGGTGTGGCTATGCATAGATCAATCCATCCCTGAAATAAATAATAGATTACGGATAAGGCGATAAAGAGAATGAAGTTTGAATTCAGTAGACCTCGACCCAACTCAATTGTACAACGCTTTTGATGTGTGGAGTGGAACTTCCAATCCAAGTTATCGGAACTTATGTGTATTGTGAATCTTTACGAGACTGGTTTTATGGTTTTGTGATTAGTGAACTCGCATTTGTGGTCTTGAATGTCTTGTCCCCAGGCTATTTTATAACATTACTTCGCACTGATGGTGTCATCCTGGTTATTGATGAAACAATGGCAATCTAAACCACGAGCTCCACGATCGGCAGCTTATGAAAACAGCTTCATTATGACAGCCATGAAAAATGATATTATTTCAAAAGTAAAATTTTTCAAGTAAAATTGCATAAAAATGATTATCAGAAACAAATATCAGAATTGACTCGCCGTCAACTTCGTTTAGTGCGCCCAGGACACAGATTATCACCACAAATTTCATAATGCGCTGGATATTCTAACTTAGGTTAATTCATATTTGCCATATTTTGTTTATCATTTGACCTGGACATGAAGAAAACCAATCAGGTGTCATTATTCAGTATTCAAAAACTCTGTTCACAACTAACCTTCATCGGGAACTCCAATCACAACTGTTTACTAAATAACAGTGGTTCACAACTTTGTCACTAAATCATACTCACTTGCTGATTGCTAGTGTCACAGGAGAGCACGTGACACGTGGAAGAGATTCTCTCTTTTAGGTACCGACATTGAGCTATAACTAACCTAAATTTTAGATCTAATTACTCTGTTGAAAAAACAACTTTATATAATTTTAATCCTAATTTATAATCTGAAAAGGGCATTAGTAGTGTAACTGAATATTATCCCATCGATAATATATTCCCGTGTACAGAACAGTGGTGCATATTCGAGAGCGAAATTCTGAAAATCGTAACAATAAGTAGACGTGATACAGTAGACTACTAATCGCTTCAGCCCGTGATCATCTCGTTCTCCTACTCCGAAAAAAACTAAATTGAGAGTCGGTTCAATTAACATTCATTTACGCCAATCAGTGCCGTGATGAATGAAGACAAGTTTGAATACAAGCCTTAACGTAAGATTGTGATACTGAGAGTGAGGTAAATAATAACCATTGGGAACAAAATGACAAATCGTTGGGTACTGTTTTCACGGCTTTGGAAGTTTCTAATTTTCTTCAATTGGCCAATATTTTGTGTTCAGTAACTTGTCGTACATCACTCGCAGGTCAGTTTTCTATCCGGCAATTCATCACCAAACGGTGAGGTACAGGATAATGGTGATCTGAAAAGTGTTCTTATTTCCAGTGTCATCCATTCCACATTGTGCTCCCTGTTCCATTGGGAAATCAGCCCTTCAGTACTAAATAACTAGTTTTCGAAACATTAGTTCTGTTCCCAAAAGCCACTTGTTAGATTTTTCGGTCACGCTGGTCGAACACCCACGGTCTGTCGGTCCTTATACGGAAGGGGAAAGTAAATGAACATGAATAAGTCTGACGAGGATAAATGGTCTGACTACCACTAATTAATGGCTGCTTGGTGTTTTTCTAGGCAACTCTAAGGCGTACTCACCTTTTTTCCACCACTCACTGATTGTTGTCCTTCCTTTAGCTACCATGTCTTCCACTAGTGTGACGTATCTACGCAATGATTCGTTTACCCGCTCCTGAAACTGTCACAAAAAGCACGGCAAATACCACGCCCACCATCCATCCCCGATGTTAGTAACCTTGAACATGCCGTTCATCTGATGCAAAGCTGGCCAGCTGTCCCTTTCAACGACTTCATGAAAATCATTCGAGGAAATGTTCGATATCCATAGTGGACAAGTGAATAGGTTTCCTGAGAAAATGAGCATGAATCATATAAAATGTGACGTAATATTTGTGTCACTGAAAACTAGATTCAGGCGATATGATGCATTTGTTTTCAGTGCAGTCTTTGTTTTCTACTGAACACAACCCGATTGAGTGCGATTTACCTTTCCGGAGACCATTGCAACAACAAACTCTACCAACAATTATTCAGCAACTGGTAGTATATAATTCTTCAAGAGAATATGATATTAGCGAAGCCTGGGAAACGGCCAATGGTAAACTAATCTAAAGGGAGATATTCCTTCTTTGAATCATGTCATTCCCAAGCAATCCGCATTTGTTTGGTTGTAGACATTTCTGTCCCTTCTGAAGATATTTTCACTGGACACATAATGTTGTGACCGAATTGCCCGAAATATAACTAGAAATCACTTCAAATGGCACAGAAATGTATTGTTCAATAAACTTGCAAATTATGGAGTTTTCCTGGGTACTGCATATATGGAGTAACTCGACGGAAAGCAGCATTCGGATTGCAAGCCAACGATTAGTCATTATAAGTTTCACGAACGCTGTAATGCGACAGAGTTCGGTCGAAGGTGCTGACTTTCATACTCGATGATCGTGTTATGTGTTCAAAGTCTGATGCGGAATGAACGGTGTTTACATAACATTGACAGCGTGAAAATTAACTTTTTGATATCGATCACACGTCGGGGTAAATGAAGCTTGTCTTGAATTAAAACTGAATTTTTCACCGAATCACCACACATAACTGTGGCATTAAAACCCATTGTAAAATAAAACCATAGGTAAAGTACAACCACAGTTGCTTTAAAATTGATTGTATGTAGCTCCTCAGAAACCACCGTATTATTGTACATCCACAAGTCATACCTGTCAAATATTTTGTAGAAATATGATTCTGCTAATAAGCCGAACAACAGTTGTTCTGAATTTGTTGTTGAATCGATTAATCTCTGTTGATGGTCAACGGGATTCGCATGGACGCTGAAATTCGCCGCTATCTAGCCGTTATCAACTGGAATACTATCTGAAGCTTCATATTATTGCGACAGACAATCAGGATCAAAAACGGTCTCTTTTGGAAAACAGAAGTTTTATCCTTCTACAACACTATATTTCATTCCTATGACTCAAGCACCACGAAATGATTGATGAACAAAGCAGCGTAGACTATTCGTAATTATGATCACAAAAGGGAATTTTGTTATAACGACCTTTCTGATTCCATTTACATTTGTTCCATTTCTTCTATGCTACATTCAGTTCATTTTTATGAAATAGTGTTACAATATTTCAGGAAGAGGACCATTATCAATAAGGGGGCTGCCTGTCGGGAAGTGACTCTCGGTGACAAGAATAAGGGTCAAAATCCTACGCTGCCCACGGTTTGATCAAACCTGGCAGAAAAACAGAACCGCCTTTTCATATATGTTTACAAAACTATAATAACAGAACAAATCAGCTCTCGAATTACCTCCATCATAATAAATATTGGTTCGATTTGACTATTCTGCCAAGTACTGACAGCTGTAGGTCACTTCTATTTGAACAGTGATTTACGATAAAAAACATGCCTTTCATACCGAGATCCGTGTTTTCTGGAAGGCTGAGTTGGTGCATAAAAATTTAGATGGTCTTCATTTCTGGAAATAATTTAGAACACTGCTTATTCAGAGCTTTAAACAAAAACCATTGGGGAACTTGTTTCAAGTCCAATTTCTTTGACCACTAGAAAATTGGAGGGATATAAGAACATAGTGCCATGTATCCCAACGATAAACAATTAGCCTAAAATCCAAGAGATTTCAGTAGTGAAATGGTGGTTCATCACGGCAGTTTTCAAAGTCAGTTTTTTAGAAGTAGTAGTTTGAGTATGATGCTGAAAGCAGGTCAATAATTTGTTTCATTTTCTTGTCTTGTCCTGCTTCCTACCATACTTTTGCCAATTCAAAACTTGGTTCAAGGCGTAGAAACTTGTGTCACATCCGTCACAATATGGCATCAAGTCGTCCATTGCTTAGTTTTTTAGTCAGCAGATAACGGTGCAAAATACGGCCATCAGTGAAAAGTGCGTAGCAACAATATACGTTTGCTTCTTAAAGCATATGAGCAAATAACATCCGGACACAACACAAGATTGCGCTGATATTTTGGAGTAGCATTCATTCATATATAACCTTTTATAATGGTCCTCAAAATGTATACTTTGCTCACCTTCCTATTCTGGTATACGGTGTTCTCCTCCCAATATCACGATTTTGCGCGGTCGAAAAGTCAGCTTTCGAAGCACATCATTCGACGATACACGTATATCTTCAAAGAGCTTTTCTGATAACTGGTAATGATGTTTTAGGGTGGTACTACCACCCGATAAAGCAATTAGAAGGTAACTGCTCCGAAAACGCTTTTTAAGTGTAACACTCAGCTGTGTCACTCTGAGACATAAAATCCATTTGTTTCTGATTCAAACTATTGGTTTAAATCATTACTTGATTTGATGGAGAATGATGAAACGTGTTTATTGTCGTGTCTACATAGATCAAAACCCGAAGAGCGCCATTGGAGTCGGGATCTGCGCACAATGGAAAACTCCGATGTGCCCAGTTTCTCAACGAATTACCAGACGTCAAACATCATGGTCCGAAGTCACCTTCGGTTGCGGCCAGGAATTTCGAAAAAACCGATAAATTCCAAAACTCAGATCATATATTTCGGCCCAAGTAGAGCGAAATGAAACAGCATGCGGTAAAAATAACACCCTTTGAATTTTCGTTCAAACGATACCGGATCCGTGTATGCGATCTGGGAAGACGACTTATGGCTGAGTAGACATTTTCTTTTCATGAAACTCCTTTATTTCTCCAGAGTTATTTTTTCAAGCCTTTTTTGTCTCGCTATTCGTGGGAGCATTTCAACCATAAATTTGGCACCTTTCACGTTACTACATCCTTCTTTTAAAAAGTCATTCCTATTTTTTGTAAATTAGTGATAACACCAGAAAATGCGAATCACGCAACAATGAATAAAAATTTACGGTGGTTAAATTCCAAGGCAATTCACGTATTTTTGTTCGCAAAGCACTATTTAATGTTTCTATTTCTGTCCAAACATCATACAGAAGGTAATCCGCAAATCGAAAGGCCAGTAAGGGTTGTGTGGCTAATCAATCAGAAGAACCTAATAGAAAAAGTGAATGCATACGACTCACTTTATTTTTTTAATTCACTCATCGATATGACCTGAAGTTTGCAGATAATGCTGCTCCACCGGTAAAGGTACGAAAGTGAACTGGATTAGCCTGAAGAGATGTCGGTCACTGTGGTTCTTCTCGGATTCTTTCTCGATAAGTTCAACTATTCTTCAGTCCGATTGTACCAGGTCGACCACTGAAGCCTCACTTTTCATATACGTATGTAGCAGTTTATATTTCAGTTGCCCGTAGCACTACCTATTTGAATCATTTAAGTTTGTTGTTCTTGTCAGCTATCCATCTTACTCGTCGTTTATAAAAAGTATTTAACATTTGCCGAGATCGGTGATAACCGGCGCTGGATATAGCAGGAGTAAGAGTTGAGTCAAGACAGCTTAACAATTGACAGAAGTACCGTAGACAATTCCTGGAATTCGTTATCTTGAATCATCGGCGTTACTGTGCGCATGTTTATCTACCACCAGTCTTGTGTTTGTTACAACAATACAATTAGTGTTCGTAAACTCTGTAAGTAGACATTGCTTACGTTGGATGTTTGAGATGGGAAAAGAGTATGATAAGACGAAGGTTGATTTCAAAATAATTCCATATATCGGACGTGCGCAACATATGCGACGGGTCGGTGATCTGTGCGCAACACCAAAGGACGTTCGAAGCGGTAGAGAGTTACTGAGTGGATGTTAGAAACCGAACAGTTGGATAGGTGCCGAAGTTTTATTCATAAGTGGTCACTGCTCAACTGCCTCTAAGCTGTTTGCTTTTAGAAGTGGCTTTTAGATCGAAAGTCACATCGCCATTATTACAACACCAAAATGAATATTATATTGTTTCAAAATGAAGACTTTTAAATTCACGAAAAAGTAGTAAATTAGCCATCCTGAACCTAATGCACAACTGGCTCTCCTATATACCACTGCGATTCCTGTGCATCGCGGTTCAAAATGAGTATTTTAAAAAGGTGGAATACCAATACTGGAATCAAGAGGACAACTTTACTTTGGTGCTTTGCCAGGGTAGGCGTTTAGCAGAAAACCTCAGTTTTACTGGTACCTTCTTGAAGCTGTACACAATGAAGTGGATCAGCTTGAGTAGGCAAAATTTCCTCGACATTAGAATGCAAATGGGGCTGAGATATTAGTGTACCAGTTCACTCAACTAAGTCAAGGCACCGCCTGGGGCTGGGTTCTAGTCGCTTGAGTGACAACGAAATTTGTAATTCGGCTACGGCAGTTTATTGGGCTGGTCACATTTTTCTGGGTTCACAGTTCAGGTGCAAATAGGCTGTACAGGATAGTCATCCTGTAGTTAAGTAGTCCGCAAATAAACGAACCCCAAGTCCCAGGGCAGAGAAACTACGCGTACTGTAGAACAAATTATTATGGAACAGCAATAAAGTGGACAAACCGACCAAAGAATCAAGAAGGTAAATAGTGACTTCAAAACGCTTGAGCTACAACGGACAGGAAGTGGCCAGGACTGCGATGCAGGATCGAGTTAAGTAGCATACAAAGAAAGTCCTTATTTCCGGAAAGCCTCTAGACTAATCAACACTCAAGAAAGAAGTAGGTTTCTAAGGAAGTAAGCCCAAACATGGTGAAGAACAGGAGAAATAGCTGTGGCTATGAGAAAATGACGCGATCACAACGGGGTGGGCAAGTTAAGTCATTCATACATGTAAAGCAGATAGATGGAGAAAGGTATTCATGTCCAATGGTCTGAGCCTTGTCAAGTAAACCTGGCACTTATGGCGTAATAACATAACGTGTCGTGGACGCCAGACTATCAGTGGATTTAGATTTCAAAACAGGGAGAAAAGTTTCTTAAGTGATAATACCTGTTTAGAATCAAAGAGATCAGCAATTAGACTAACGTCAACCAAGACCGACTGACATCTGTTATAGAAACAAGGCTAAAATTAATTGACGCAATGGGACTGAACAATCAAACTATCAAGCGTATGTATAGCCAAAGGTTGATGATAGACGTGGAAACTAGGGGCAGAAGTGCATCTAAACGAAACGAACTCTTTGGTTTTTGTTAGAAAAATTTGTGATAAATACCATGGGATCAGGACTAAACCAGTTTAAATGAGTTTCTCGAAGTGGCAAGCTCAATTTCCGTGGCTTATCTCAATGAATTCTACATGGGCGGATCGACACTACCTCCTCTGGAGCCGGCTGATTGAGTTCAGGGGTCACTGGCGTACTCGCGAGAAATTTGCCTCTCTCTTCGTGAACATTTGATAGTGCGTGCCTGAAAATGGTGGTTTCTGCAATGAACGTTTCTCGTTGTGTGAACCGAACTGGAACACAGGGCCGGAGGATTACGTTACCACAGAAAATTTATAATTTATTGAAAATGCGTTTTACTGTTGTGATTCTAGTTGAAGAATAACGCTGTTTTGATCATTATTATTTTTTTTTTGGGGGGGGGACAATCAAGTGAATGTCTTTAGTGATACATCAGCTGCTACCACTGATGTCCTCAGCCAAGTTGGAAAAAATGATCCTCCAGTAGTAGGGCCAGATTTTTTGAAACCAAGATACGGTCCTACCTAATCTCCCAGCATGATTATTTCATCGTTCGATTAAAGCTGGCTGCATTACTTGCACAAAAATTCAGGAAGATATGTACTTTTCCAGTTTGTCCTATTAAGAGACATTTGTTTGACTTCAGGATCATTGAGCCAAGCTGAATACGCCTCTTGCACAACAAGCTGAGCTGTTCGCATCCGTATCTACTTTTTAGTCATGGAGTGAACTGGCACACAAAAACTATTCTACTATTACTCAATCCAGCCTTTTTCTCTATCAACTATTGGAATACATTTATTGTCACACACTGTTTCCAATGAAAGAAAGTAGCACGGTACTTTATTATTCTTCATTCGCTTTACATCTGTGCCCTTCGCGTTTTCTTTCAGAGGAGCACCTCGCAAATAATGCATATGAAAATCCCTAGAGTCAAAAATTTGTTTATATATATATATATATGCTTTCTTTTTTCTTTCTATTACTGAAATTAATAAAAGCGGAAAGTGAACAAATTAACATGGATTTTGTGCTGCCTTCATTGTATGGTAAAGGTCTACCAAAAATAAATGATGTAGCCATCTTCCTTTGAAGAAAATGCTATAAACTGGAACCTAACGTAAATTTATGCTTCTGATAATTGATTCGATGAATTCACTACATCGGACAAACTTTGGTCAGGTTTTACCTAAGAGTACATTTCGGTGCCTGAATGTTTCACTAAGAATATTTACTTTTCACGCTGTAGTACAAATATGATTTTTCACTACTTGTTATTTGATTTCACTAAGATCCGCAACAGTATTTCCAACGAATATCACCAATAAATTCATGCGCATCTGCACAAATTTGCCAATGTTCCTAATGCTGGTATTTTGAAATTTTCCGGAAATATGCGCATTGCACGATGATCATTACACCTGTGTGGTCCTGTGATAGTGTGAGAGTATTAGTATACATAAGCTCCATGCGCAATAGATTACTTCCTTATACCGACTAATTTATCTATGTAGCTATGCGATCACTGAGAGCTGTTTCATTTTTCAAGTCTTGATAGCATCGTCATTCATGATCGATTGGTAATGTTTCATCTCCTGACTGTGTGAAAGTCACATCTTCAGTCACATGGATAAACGACGCAAGTGAGGCTAAAAACAGCTTGTTGTCGAGGTTAAATAGTCAGTGAGAGTGCCGAACGTTGTACCCAACGTCATATGTCTCCATTCTCCATGCTAATTTAGAAAAACTGGTACCATTCCTTGCAACCATGATATCGTTTCAGTACATTTAATGACATCAAACTGTGAAGAATCACATGATATCCAAATACACTAGATGGAAGTTTACCACCGTTGTCACTTCCATTATCCTGAGATTTTCATAGCATATCAAAACACAAAGCTAAAATATGAAACTCCACAGAAAATGACGTCAGTTACGTTAGTTTTGCTGTGTTTCTTTGGCGACCGAAATTGTGACCTTAATTACCATGATAATTCACTCTCAAGTTCAAGAGTCTGAAATAAATTTAATATCATCCTTCAGAGGAGTAGATCGCTTTGCGGGAAGCGAGCTGTTACCTTTCAAAGCCAGTTAAGGAAGGGTGCTATATCATGTAGTGTAGATTTGAACAAACCGCTGAGAGCCAATCCGGAAAATCTTGTGGTTAAGTTGTTCGATTCACAACCGTTCAGCCTGGGTTATAGTCCCCGTAGGGTCTCGGTGAATGTGCACTACTGATTACTCCCAACAAGGATGAAACTGCTGTGCAGTGCTTCCATGGTTTTCAGTGGCGACTTGACCGTTGAAGCTGCTTGATAAATCATATTATACAAATCCAATCTCCTGTTACTCAATTTGATATCAAACAGGGCCAATTGGTAAACTGACGAAAGCGAAGTATTGCAGTGAGTTCGGGTAAAATGTAATCCGTCGATGTTGAGTCACTTTTTACAAAGGTACCTGTTCGTGAAACAGTAGATTATCTCTGTG